GCCCGGGCTGGGGATTCGAACCCTCCACCTTAGGTGTATGTGGCTGGCGCCTTAGCTGCTTGAGCCACAGGCGCCGAGCCCCTCATTGCGATTTTAATATGGATTTCCCTAATGTCTAATGATGTTTAGCATTTTTTCATGTCCTTATCATATGTATTTTTTGACATATCTATTAATATCTTTTCCCCCCTTTTCAACAACTTTAAGATGTTTATAGATTCATGCTTTTTTTTTTTTTTGCTTGTAGGAAAGGTCTTTATTGGTGGAGGAGGGAGGGTGCAGAGCCGCACCAACGAGGAGAGAAAAGGGGAGAAAAGAAGAGGAGAGTGAGGAGGAGAGAGGAGGAGAGAGAGCGGAGAAGAGAGAGAGAGAGAGAAAAGAGAAGCGTACCTTTATATAGGGAAGTCTCAGGTGACTGGATGGTATGATAGCCAGTAAGGAGTTACTGCTCCCGTAGGAAGAGCCGTTAAGGGCAGGCAGTGGGTAATTGGCACAGGGAGATGAGGTAAGCAGGCCACTCCCTGTGCTTGGGAAGGAGTTGTAACTTTAAGAGCAGGAAGGGGCTTTCTGAGGCAATCACCTAATATTCCTCCCTTCTTGATATGTTAAAAATAGGGGGTTGGCCTTGGGATAGGGGCTGTTGAGTTCTCTCTTCTGTAGTTTCTTCTTGCTGAAAGGGGCACGTAGTTTTAATTGGCCAACTATTAGATAATTATGATTTTTCGTTGGGAGGATATACGTTTTTTGCTCTTAGACTGCCCTTTTAGTGGTGGCTGTTTAGAAGTGGTGTTCAGGAAGGTCTTGTGGCCTGGAGTGGAGTGTAGCCCATTCATGAAGAACAGTTTCTTTTTTTTGTAGGTTGGGAGCTGTATCTGGGGTGTAGGTTTGAAGCACCAGCTGAGTAGTTACTAAGTCTGGATGAGGCAGTGCTGAGTGCTGGTTAGAGCACCTTGGCAGGTGGACACAAGCCGATGCAATGATGAGTGCCGGGAGTATGAGAGGAGGATAGGGAGCCCCCAGGAGCTAAAACCCCATGGAAGGGGTAGAAGCTACCCTTGGCAGCGTTCCCTAATTATATCCCACTTCTGACACCAGCTGAAAAGGTGGCATTCGACTGGCAGAGATCTCACAGACCATCAAGGCTTATATGAAAGGTCTTTATTGGTGGGGGAGGAAGGCTGCAGAGCAGCACCAAGGAGGAGAAAAGAGAAGAGAAAAGGGGAGAGAAAAGAGGAGATCAAGGATGAGAGAGGAGGAGAGAGAACAGAGGAGAAGAGAGAGAGCCATGCTTTTTTTTTAGACAGTCTCACTTTGGTAAAATGGTGTGGTGTCATAGCTCATAGCAACTTCAAACTCTTGGGCTTAAGTGATTCTCTTGGCTCAGCCTCCTGAGTAGGTGGGACTACAGATGCCCACTGCAATGCCTGGCTATTTTTGGAGATGGGGTCTTGCTCTTGTTCAGTTTGGGCTCAAACTTGTGAGCTCAGGCTATTTGCCCACTTCGGCCTCCCAGAGTGCTGGGATTGCAGATGTGAGCCACTATGCCCAGCCTAGATTCATGCTTTTTAACATTCTATTGCATTATGTCTATTATTGAATTCTGAGAGTTCTTTGTATTCCAGATACAAGTCTCCTATCAGATAAGTGATATGCAAATATTTCCTCCCAAATTGTCTTTTTTTTGCAGTTTTTGGCTGGGGCTGGGTTTGAACCTGCCACCTATGGTATATGGGGCTAGTGCCCTACTCCTTTGAGCCACAGGCGCCACCCTTACTTGTTTTTTGTCCTTTGTTTTTTTTTTTTTTTTTTTTTTTTTTGCATTTTTTTGCTGGGACTGGGTTTGAACCCGCCACCTCCAGCATATGGGGCCGGTGCCCTACTCCTTTGAGATACAGGTGCCGTCCCCCAAATTGTCTTTTTAAGTTCTCTTAACAGTGTCTTCCAGTGAGCTCCAAATTGAACTTTATTTTCTTTTTTTGAGAGAGAGTCTCAGAGAGAGTCTAGGTTAGAGTACCATGGCATCAACCTGGCTTGCAGCAATCTCAAACTCCTAGGTTCAGGCAGTCCCCCTGCTTTAGCCTCCCAAGTAGCTGGGACGACAGGTGCCTGCCATGATGCCTGGGTAATGCTTTTTTAATTTTTAGTGGTGATTGGATCTCACATCAAATTGAACTTTATTTTATTTTTAGTGGTGATTGGATCTCACTTCAAATTGGACTTTATTTTATTTTATTTTATTTATTTTTTGTTTTTTGTGGAGACAGAGTTTTACTTTATTGCCCTCAGTAGTGCTGTGACATCACACAGCTCACAGCAACTTCCAACTCCTGGGCTTAGGTGATTCTCTTGTCTCAGCCTCCCGGGTAGCTGGGACTACAGGAGCCTGTCACAACGCCCGGCTATTTTTTTGTTGCAGTTCAGCTGGGGCCAAGTTTGAACCCACCACCCTGGTATATGGGGCCAGTGTCCTACCCACTGAGCCATAGGTGCCGCCCTTATTTATTTATTTATTTTTGAGATAGAGTAGGGTGCTGTGGTATCACAGCTCACAGCAACCTCAGACTCTTGGGTTCAGGCAATTCTCTTGCCTCAGTCTCCCAAGTAGCTGGGACTACAAGTGCCTGCCACAATGCCCAGCTATTTTTTAGGGCAGTTGTCATTGTTGTTCAGCTGGCCTGGGCTGGGTTCAAACCTGTCAGCCTTGGTGTATGTGGCTGGCGCCTTAACCACTGTGTTACGGGTGCCAAGCCCAATTGAACTTTAACACAACAAAAATCTTAGAGGAGACCTGATGCTTTGTCATTTTTGTGTATTTTTATTTTTATTTTTGTTTATTTATTTATTTGAGGCAGAGTCTTACTCTGTCACCCTGGGTAGAGTGCCGTGGTGTCATAGCTCACAACAATCTCAAACTCTTGGTCTCAAACTTTTCTTTTGCCTCAACCTCCCGAGTTGTTGGGATTACAGGTGCCCACCACTACGCCCAACTTATTTTTTATTTTTAGTAGAGACTGGTCCTGCTCTTGCTCAGACTGGTCTCCAAACTCCTGAGCTTAGGCGATGATCCACCTGCCTTGGCCTCCCGGAGTGTTAGGATTATAGGTATGAGCCACCATGTCAGCCATTCTCATGTATTTTAAAGAAATTTTAAATAGAATTTTTAATCTTTGTAATGTGAACCATCACTGTTTGGGCCGTTCTCTACTCTGAACTGCACGTAGAATCCCTTGTGACTTTATTGTCTGCTGCCCCCCATTGTTCTGTATCTTAGACGGGGAGTCGTCTTTGGTCTCTGGAGCGCCTGTGCTTCAGTGGGCAACATTTTGGGAGCGTGCCTAGCGTCCTCTGTTCTGCAGTATGGTTATGAGGTAGGTATTTTTTTTTTGGCTTTGTATTGTGTGTGCATTTGTGTATTTGTATTGGTTTTTATAAACTGTGGCCATTTAAAACTAGCTAGAGCTGTCAGGGAAAGGCTTAAAGGAGGACAAACTTCTGCTACATCAAACACAAAAAATTACTCATGGCAAAAGCACCATAAAAGAGTCTAAAGACAGATAGCCAATTGAGAAGAAGAATTTGCAACTCGCATTACAGATAAAGGACTGATATCCCTTGTATACGAGGAGCACCCACGAATTAGTAAGAAAGAGACCAGCAACAGAAGGGTCAAAAATTTGGATGTATAATTCATGGAAAGGAAATAGAAATAGCTTGTATACATATGAAAAGATATTCAACTTCACTCATAGTTTATTCATTCATTCAATAAATATTTAAGTCCCTCTGTGTGCCCTCAGGCACTGGAGAATATAGAACTGCCCAAAGCAGACAAAAATCTGCTTTGTCCTTATGGCGCTTAGTTGGAGGAGAAATGCAAATTAAATCTACACTATTAAACAAAAAGTAAAACTACACTGTACTCTTACTAGATTGGTAAAAATCTAAAAGTTTGACCACAGGTTGTATTTATGACGACTTGAAGAAACCAGCATTGCAGTTGGGAGAATAAATGTCCCCTCAAGGGGTCAATGTGGCAGTGTCTATCAGAATGGAAACTGAGCAGTTCCCCCTCCAGGAGTTAATCACACAGGTGAATAGACTGTAACATGGACAAATGATGTATCTGTAGGTTCTGCACCCTCCTTTATTCTAGTAGTGTTTGTAATAGCCAAGGATTGAAAACAAATGTCAATCAGGAGGGAAATAAACTATGATCGTCCTGTTCAAAGGAGGCTGTGCAGCTGTGACGCAGAGTTAGGAAGCTCTCTATGTACTACTGGTAGAGACTGACGCACTGGAATGGTGTCAAAGACATGTTAAGTGAAGAAATCGAGGATGCAAAATGGGTGCTATTTGTTTTAAAAGGAAGAATGAACCAGGCTTGGTGGCTCACGCCTGGAATCTCAGCACTTGGGAGGCTGAGGCAGGTGGATTACCTGAGCTCACAGGTTTGAGACCTTCCTGAGCAAGAGCGAGACCCCATCTCTGAAAATAGCTGGGCATTGTGGCGAGTGCCTATAGTCCCAACTACTTGGGAGGCTGAGGCAAGAGAATTGCTTAAGCCCGGGAATTTGAGGTTGCTGTGAGCTATGATGCCGCGGCACTCTACCAAGGGTGACAAAGTGAGACTCTGTGTCAATAAATAAATAAATAAAAGGAAGAATGAAAGAGCATGTATTTGTATTAGCTGTATGTCTGCAAAACAATCTCTGGACAGTCAAAATCAATTAACAACGCTGGGTATGTTGGGAAGATTGGAAGATTTGGGTGGTGGGGGGAAAGCGTTAGAGAGCAACTTTTCATTGTCCATCCTTATTACTTTCTGTTGCTTGAATCATGTGAGCATGTTGCTTAGTTGAAACCTAAGTAATTAAAGTAAATTGCTCTTTTCAGAAATAGATACATTTATGCCTGAGGTGGCGGGTTCAAACCCAGCCTTGGCCAAAACCTGCAAAAAAAAAAAAAAAAAAATAGATACATTTTTAAAGAGCCTGCCAAGAATTTTGGTCTAGATTATTCATGGTCACTTTTATTCTAGCTTTCTTAGCCCTCACACCTGGATAGTACTGATTGATTCACTTGAGAATTTCATTTTACCCTCTCAGATTTGACTTCTGGAAACACTGCTTTAATTTGTCACTCACATGTTTAAAAATTTGGTTTGGCTGGGTGCTGTGGCTCATGCCTGTAATCCTAGCACTCTGGAAGGCTGAGATGGGTGGATTGCTTGAGCTCACGGGTTCAAAACCAGCCTGAGCAAGAGACCTCGCCTCTAAAAATAGCTGGGTGTTGTGGCGGTGCCTGTAGTTCCAGCTATTTGGAAGGCTGAGGCAAGAGAATCACTTGAACCCAAGAGTTTGAGGTTGCTGTGAGTTATGCCATGGCACTCTACTGAGGGTGACAAAGTGAGACTCTGTCTCAAAAAAAAAAAGTCAAAATTTGGTTTGTCTATCTATGTCAGGCTCTAGTCTCTGTAAAAACTCAGCTGTGCAGCAGTTGAGAAGCTGTCACCTTTCCAAATCAGTTTTTTTTTTTTAAGACAGTCTCACTATGTAGCCCTGGATAGAGTGCTGTGGTGTCACAGCTCACAGCAACCTCCAACTCTTGGGCTTAAGCGATTCTCTTGCCTCAGCCTCCCCCTAGTAGCTGGGACTACAGGTGCCTGCCACAACACCTGGCTATTTTTTGGTTATAGTTGTCATTGTTGCAGGCTGGGGCTGGATTCGAAGCCACCAGCTGCGGTATGTGGCCAGCTCCCTAGCTTCTGGGCTACGGGCACTGAGCCTCCAAATCAGTTTTATTCCCTGTTGCCCCCTAGCATAAACCCTCTACTTCAGTCAGGCAGCAACTTTCTCTTTCTTTCTTACCTACCCTGTGCCTAGAGAGATGGGCAATTGCCTTTTCACCTCTTCACTAAAACATTGTCCTGCTGCTTCAGCCTTTTCAGGTTTTCCTTCCTTCTGAATTCCTGTGTGTTTCTTACTAGGACTGGGTCTTCCCACTTACTTAGCTTCATGTTGCTTTATAACTGTTTTGTGTGTTGTTTAATCCCCTCAACTGGTTATAATATCTTCCAGGGCAGATACTGTGTCTTTTGTGAGAAGCTGTGTGATGCCAAGAATTAGATTTTTGGAGATAGTTCTGGTCTCACAGTTGTAATAGTGGCTGCTACTTAGTGTCCAGGGGATCTTGATTAACCCCTCCCCCCCAAGCTGTGTAGATTCGCTGGGAAGCTTTAAATGATTAACAGGAGTAGAACACTTTGCACAGTGCCTGGCTCAGTGTAGCAGTCAGCACTCATTTTCCCCCAGTCTCCCTGTCCTCCTGTCGTCCTACCTACCCACGCTCCCACAGCCCACATGTGTGCCTTTGATGAATGTGTCATGATGACTAGCCCCAGACGTGTAAGACCCACCTCTCCTCCCTCTCCTCCAGTACGCCTTTTTGGTGACGGCATCTGTGCAGTTTGCTGGTGGGATCATCATCTTCTTTGGACTCCTGGTGTCACCACAAGAAATTGGTGAGGAGAAGCTGTCTTTTCTATTTAGAATGTTTTACTCTCCTGGCCAAAGGGAGAGGCCAGGAAATCAGATCTCTTTTTTCCCCCCAGGAAAACTGTGAACTCCTTTTAGTGAATTAAAGGAGAATAGTACTGCTGTTTGTGTCCTGTCTGCATGGGAGCCAACCCCAGCCCAGCTGCAGGTCTTTGAGGGAGTGGTGCCTGCCTTTTATAGATAACAGGAATAGCTTAGCATTTGCAAATTTTTACCATCATCAGCCTGGCTAGGAATTAGCATGGATGTACTTCTAATTTCACTTCTTGAGTCAGATTTCTTTTTGTTCATAAAAATAATTCAGTTTGATCCTTATTTACAATTAAATACAGAATGTGTGTAAGTAAAACCACAGAAGCAAAGAGATGTGCAATTCTTGTTTTTGAGTATTTTTAAACAAGCTATGTGAACTTAATTGACCTTAGTTGACCTTGGTCTCTGAACCTTTGTTGCTTCTACCATAAAATGGAAATAAAAATAATATTGACCCCATAAGTAGTGATGTATGCCAGCTGTAGTGCCAGCCACACCGGAGATTCTCTGTAAATGGTCGCTGCTGTTGTTGTTTTAGGTCTGTCAGGTATTGAGGCAGAAGAAAATTTTGAAGAAGACTCCCACAGGCCATTAATTAATGGTGCTGAAAATGAAGATGAATATGAGCCTAATTATTCAATCCAAGAAGACAGTACTATTCCCCAAGTCAAGGCTATAAGCTTCTATCAGGCTTGTTGCCTTCCTGGAGTCATACCGGTAAGGTCTGCTCAAACCTCCTTATCACAGCCAGGGAGCTGTGACCACACTTGATATTTACTTTGCCTGGGTTAAAGCTTCGGTAAGTATTTAGCTTCTCTTTGATACCTTATTTTAGGAAAATACATTCAGAGAAATATTGCGTAGTGCTCCTCAGCTTATCTGATGCCTAACGCAGGGGTTGGAAAACCTTTTCCATGAAGAGCCAGGGAGTAAATAATTTTCAGCTCTGGGGGAACTATATAATTGCTGTCACAACTGCTCAGTTCTTTTTTTTTTTT